CACCCTTGTTACTCCAGTGCCAAGTCAAGGAACAGTGGGTGTCATTGCAAAATGAAAGGGACTTCCCCCTAAAACTAATTAATTTTGTCTTTAGCTGCTGAGGGAATGATGCCTTAGTGGCATTACCATCATTTCAAGTTTTGTCACTTCCTTGAAATGACAGTATCAGATTAAGTTTATTTTTTAAGCTGCTCACCCAGGGCCTACTTAAACAGCATCATTCCATAAACAGGTTTGGGATTCAGTGACAGACTTCACAGTGGAGGTTGAAAGGATCTGCTCCTTTATTTATATGTCAAACAGAACAACAATAACAGACTTTTCATAATCACTTATTGTCATCTGCTAAAAGGGCAAGTTGCAGACAGCATGTTAATCCTTGTTTTTAAAAAAAATCATTAACTATTTAGGGTGGGAAAACATCCAGCTAAAAGACCTACACTGGCCCAATTATGATTCTTTGTCAAAGAAAAAAATAAATAAAAGCTGTTTGTCCTGCAGTATAAAATGAAATGCAAAGATAAAATTACACTAAGGATACATATGTTTAGTCCGTGATTTATCTGAGGTGGAGATTGCCAGAGAAATTTCCCTCTGGAGAGTCTCTGTTCCCAGCTTAGAACATTAGCCTGTTTCCCAGCCAGGAGCATGTTTCGTGCTGGCCTTTCTCACCAAGTTGGATCATCATTCTCTGAGCAGAATGCAGAACAGTTCACTTTCTATGACTCAAACAGACTTTGACTCCAAAATATAAGTTACAAGTCAGCCTGTGAAGCCCATTCTTCAAGCCAGTCAGCTCCCCTCAAGCCAAGTTGCTGCTGCATACAGAGAAGGGATTGAGGACTTTACACCTACAGCAAGGAAGGGCCCTCAGCACAGCTTGTCGCTGTTTTACAGGCTTTTCCCACTGAGATCAGGCAAAATCTTCCTGGATATATATCCCACGTGAATGGTCTGAGAAGAGCCAGGCTCCTGGGAGGGCTTGGGGGTCCTGACTATAAAAAGCAAGGACAGGTTATATGCAGTTCCTCTAAACAAGCACTTCACTGGCATGGAGCCACTCCTCCCACACAAGCCCTCTTGCCTCCATCTGGCAGCCTAGGAAGTGTCCTTCAAAGATTTGAGCCTGTGTGCATCTACAACAGCCCAACCAGAACTCTTGTTTTGATTCACTATGTGTACAGACCAAAAAGGGCCAGCCATCATTCTAGATCTGCCAGCCAAGAGTCTGGGAGCCCTAAATGCTAAACAAGACATCTCACCCCACCTCTAGACGTGAGAATCTGGTGTGATAGATGCCAGTGCTGATCAGATGGAGCAGTGCAGACATGACTACCCACCCACCTCCTACCTGACCACATCTCCAGCCACCATTGCACATTTTCTTGTTTGCCAAGAACTCAAAAGTTGGTGAAAACAAGACCCAAGAGCAAAACAGCCAGCCTCATCCTGAAGGTCTATAGCATACGCCTACAGGTATGCTTGCAGGTATGCCTACAGGTATGACCCTCAGCTTTTTCCTGATTTTCCTAGGCAACTTATTTTAATCAGCATCCATTTAAAAAGGGATAAGAAGTTTCTGGACTGTAATTCCTCTCAGGCACCCTTCTCTGAATGAAGAGTTTCTAGTCTAGCAGATGGAAGTTCACCTGAAGGGAAGAATGTACTTCTCACACCTTCACACCAAACACAGAAACAAGTCAGGAAGTTTCTCTGGGTGCTGCACTCCTCTTGCCATTGAAAGGGTTACATGTGAAAGAAGCCAGTCTTGTGTTTGCCTCACAGATGCTGAGGAGGCATGCAAGCTCTGCACAGAACAGGAAGAACGAATCATCTCCTGCCCCGCTTGCTACTCTGAGGGCACAGTGGAACTCTATCAGCAGTGGCAAGACAGTGACCTCACACCCTCCCACTCCCATGCTGACTTACTCAGCTGTAGTGACTGCCACCGCTGTCATGGAATACCAACCCCAGTTTTGTGTAGCCGAAGGTCTAAAGCCAAGTCTTGGTAAGCTATCTAGAGGCGCACAGTGTGGGCAGAGTTTGGGTAAGATGGGTGCATGCGCATGAGAAGCAGGGCACCTGGATCCCCAAATGATGCTCAGAACTCACAGCCACCAGCCACTGCTACCACCACCTACACTGAGTCAGGAAGTCAACTTGTAGCCTTATACTACAGCCTTTGGCAGCACAGATGACTCCTCAGGCTGGGACGGCCCACTTTAGAGCAGGGTTCCCTCACCACAGCCTCACTCAGGGAACCCCTTTGTGCTATTCTGAGTTGTGGTACAAAGGAAGGAACAAAACTTGGCTGCAGCCTAAAGCTGCAGGGGCTCCAGATGCAAAAGGCAGTTCTGTCTGAAAAAGAAAATCAAATAAACCTCCTTTGAACTTTTCCCTTCTATAGTTTCTTAATGTAGAACTCCACCACCATTTTCCAGGCCTTCTGATACCTACCCCAAGTGACTCCCCTGGTAAGCTGGAGTCAGACCTTAGACCCAGATATGGCCTGGGGCAGCTGGGAGAGCAGTCTGCCTAAACTGTCAACAGGACACAACTTTCACTTTCCTCTGCTGTTTCCAGAAAGGACTCCCAGTAGTTAGGAACTCTTTCTCAACACCTAGTCACTCGACAATCTCAGCCTGGATGTGGCTGAATGTGAGCCCAAGTGCAGCTGGAGCCAGGTAGCAATGCCGTTCAACTGGGGGCACAGGAACGCTTGAAGGGAGCCAAGTACTGTGCCTTGGGTCCTATACCTCAGGTCCTGGCCTCTCCTGCACCTCCTTCACCCTAGGTAGAAATTGAAGCAGCATTCATGAAGGTCCAACACACTAAATACACACACACACACACACACACACACACACACACACACACATACTCATCAAAAGAGCTGCAAAACTTCAAAGATATGACAGTGACTGGAGTCATTTACTTTGCCTGGGGATGTCCAAACAGCTTTCTGAACAGTAGACTCTTGGAACCTTAGGACTAGAGCAGTCCTCATCTAAGGGACCACAGCAGGGAAGTGAGTGCCCTTAACTGGCTTGCCTCAGGCCTCTCTCAAGAGGTGTCCTGTGGAGCCCTGGCCCTGAGTGGCCTTCCTCACAGGTAGGTTTAGGCCACACTGTGAGGGGAGCTGACTCCTGAGTGTACAGAGGCCCTGGTTCTAGTACTTCTCAGACCCACTAGCTGCCCAGCCCATCAGGATCTAGGGGTTCTACCCACTCCCCAAGTTTTATAACTACTAGGTTGACTGGTCTGCATCCTCTATTCCCTCCCAACCCAGTTATTTCTGAGGGGCAAATACAGGCCCTTTGTGATAGAAAGCTACTTTCAGAACCTCCTTCCCCCCACAACCCACCTGCTGAGGTTTCAGGCACTGGACGCATTGAGGGCTGTTCTGCTTCTTTAGTTGGGGAAGGTCTGTACCCCAAAAGGAAACACCATGTGAAGAACCAACAGGGCCCAAAACAGCAACAGTGTCTTCTCTGCTTTTCAGAGCTTTTTCTGTACACAAGCTGTTCTCATGGAAAGAATGCGATTCAACTCCCTGCTTTAAAAAGGAACTCTGTCTACAACCTCAGTTGTCTTCTGCCTTGAGTAGAAATAGCTAACATAATGAGGACTTGTGGGGTTGGATCACTCTCCTGTTCCATGCCCAAACTGTCTTCAGGACTCATACTGAGCTGCTATCCCTGCTGACACCATGAACGCTGTGAGGAAGATCAGCATGGAGCTTCCAAGGGACTTTGGTGGCATTACCACACAGTCCGCATGTTTATCACTCCCATGCCACTTGAGCACACAAATGCCAGAAAAGTAGGCAAAAGTGAGGTTTGAACCAGCACAGCTCTAGCCCTACATCCCCACAATAAGATGAGGAGCCTGCCACCCTCTCTGCAAGACCCAGCCTGGCTACTTGGTAACCCAAAATCCCACAAGGCCACCCTTTGGGAATCCTGAAAATGCCTGCCTGCCAATGGAGAGGTTTTCCCTTAATACATAAATTCTGGCTTCAAGCAGCTGTAATCAGACCATCTTGGAGTATCTGGCAGCCCCTCAGGGCCTGGTTGGCCTGCCCTGAGCAGGGATGTCATCCTTCCTCACTCACTGGAAGTAGTACTCCAAATGATGTCAAGTACTAACTAGCATACCATTCTCCCCAACAAAGTGGAAAATTCTGTTTATTGCAGCAGGGACACTTTGATGACCTCAGATTGGGGAGGAGGGGGCATCCTACTCTTGACAGACTTAGTCCCTGACCAGCCCGCTTCCATCAGTGTTGACTGCAGTTTCCTGCTGGGAGCACCAGCAGAGCAGCTGAGTTTGCACAGGTCACCTAGCCCATACCCCATGTCCTGGAAGACAGGCACACTATACAGGGTGCTCCCAACTGTGCCTGCAAAGCTGCTCTCCACCTCTTGGCAACACTAGCTTAACCACATCCACATGCAACTGTCTTTTTGTGGTCATAAAACACATCCTCCAGCAAATGGACACAGGAGCCAGAGGGCTGGGCAGAGCTGGAGAGGGGCGGTTGCCACTGCTTCCACAAAGGTCCAAAGGAAACCTGGGCAAGGTTTCATTCATCCAGTAAACAAATAGCACCCAGAGGTCTTAGGGGCAATGGACAGAAGTAATCTGATGACAACACCCTTCTGAGGTGCAACTTCAACTCAGGGAAATACTCATTTTCAAAGATCCACTACGGCACATCTTGTTAGAAGGAGATCATTAACTACAAACAAAGGGAGTGAACATTCCTACTATAAAAAGCTCAGGCTTAATCAAAACATTTCTTACCAAAAAAGTTGCTGGCCTAGTAACTAAGAAAACCATCAAAATGTTTGCTTTTATTCAAAGGTAGTAAATAACCTAAAAATTTCTCAAAATAATATTCAACTGTAATTTTTCATTCATTTTTCTAAAACTTTTTTTTTGTCTTTTTGAGACAGGGTCTCCCTATAGCCCCAGCTGGCTTAGAATGCACTATGTAGGCCAGGCTGGCCTTGAACTTGCAAAGATTCACCTGCCTCTGCCTCCTGAGTGCTGGGATTAAAGGCATGTACTACCTGGCCAAGCAAACTTTTCTAAACTTTCTAATGTAATAACTTTTAACTTTAGTGCCATGCTTTTTATTCTTCATTATGACATAACAGAGCAATCACTATTAAAATCATCATTCAAAACAGAAGAGAAAGCTTCCCTGGCAGAATCCAGAAATCATGGCAACATCTCTGCCCAGGAACTGAAAAAAAAAAAAAATGGTATTATACCACAAAACTCCCACTTTGGGATTTTTTTTTTTTCAACCTGAAGAAATAGTTGTGTTTTCTGGCTAGTTACAGCTACTCACACCCATAACAGATAAATTCACATTATAAAAGGAGAAAACTCTTCATTTTAAGAATAAATTATACAGGGATTATTTTCACCTTTGGGGGAAATCTTACAGAATGAAAAAGATTCATAAGGGGCCCTTAAATAAATTAGTTGGGTTTAAATTTTGGTCTTTTCTCTCTCAAGAGTGTAATCACTATGAATTAAAATACTTATAAACTGTTCTGTACCTTGGCATCTGTGACAAGGCAGAATTGATGCCTCTTCCAGAGCTTAAACGAGAAAGCCCAGCACACTATGAAACAACAGCATCCATGAAGGCTTCGGGGTTTGTCAAAGCAGCCCTGGCAGGTGTGATCCAGCTTATTTCTCTTTCTCAAACAATGACAAAAGGCCCCAAAGGACAACTAGGCACAGACAAACAAATTCACCTCTTTAGGCCAAAAATCAGATGGTGGGAATCAAGCTTGCTCCCTGCTCTATCCACACCAAGGCCTTTGGAAAGGCAGCAACTGCCAAGCTGAGAGCTGAGAGCGCCTTCTTCCTGCTCTGCAGGTGGCTGGTTGTGAGTTTAGGTCTAACAAAAAGTACTTTTGTGTAGCTTCATTTCCTGTCACTATCACACTGCCAAAAAACTACAGCACCAACACAGTGAACGCATGTAAAGGCCACCCTAGATTTAACAGCTAAGCACAAGCTATGTTGGCGAACTCTGAGTATGCCCTTGGACCAGATTATGTCTACCTGGCAAATGAGTCTGAGTCCTCTGCTAGAGCTGGCCCCAGGACACTCAACCCTGAGAACTTCTTCTCCAGCTTCTTAGGAAACCCTCCTGGCACATCTCTGGGAAACCGGGCACCTGCCCTCACCTCCCCAGGTACAGCCATTGCACTGACTTCTGCTACCACCTCTGAGGTGCTTCAAAACCTGCAGGTCCTATCGTGCCTCCCAGTGTCCTGTCAGCTCAGACTGGGTAGTTTAAAATCTTTCCTCCATCTCAACATAACACCCCACCCCCGCCCGCCAAAAAAAGAGAGAGAGAGAAATATTCTTTCCACTTTCTACATCATTCCCAATTGGAATTGATTTTTTAAAGCCGTTGCTGACCTTTGCAGCACCACAGCACATTCTTCCCTTCCAAAACTGACACAGCGCCGGCATCAGGCTTTGAAAGTGGGGGAGGGGCCCTTTGCAGTGGTTCCTTACAGTGAGAAAGTTCAAGATGCATACCTCCAGAATGTGGCCATTACTGCCTTGCAGTGGGACCCAGTGTCCAACGCCAGGAATCCGGTCACCCAGCGGGGCCACGCGTCCTCCAAGGACAGAGTCCAATCCTAACCCGTTTCTACCTGAATTTAGAGCCAGTTACCTTATGGCAACATCAACACAAACGTTCTTTTCTCTCCTAAAGGAGACAGCGGGCTGTGGTGATCGCTTTGCAAAATGCACACGGCTGTGACATTTGGTAGCAGAAGGCTATCAGCCCAAGGCTTTCAGAGGCTGCTGCTCACGGTAAATGTGCGCGAGTAAAGGAGTGTGTGGGTGTGAGTGTGAACATGTGCTCTCCTCTGTGCGAGCTCAGGGGCCACAGGGCGACCCTGACTCAGGCTCGGTAACAGGCCAAGCGGAAACTGCTCTTCAGTTGGGGTCTCCCCAGGCTGCACGCTACCTGCAGCCGCAGGCCTCCACCACCATGTCCTCGTACTGCTTGTAGACCACGTTGTTGGCGGCATCGATGTAAAGGATGCTGATGGGACTGAGGCGCGCGGGCACGCAGCAGGAGGCTGGCGCCGCGTCGGGTGCCATGGAGTTGAGTAGGGTCTGAATGATGGCGTGGTTGGTGGGCTCCAGGTGCGAGCGCAGCGGAAAGTCGCAAACGCCCTCGCAGTGGTAGGCCTCGTAGTCCAGGGGCGCGATGATCCAGTCATCCCAGCCCAGCTCCTTGAAGTCCACGTGTAGCGGCTTGCGGCTGCAGCGGCTCCGGCCCCTGCGCCCATGCCCCCGGCCGGCGCCGCCACCTCCGCCGCTGCCCGGAGCTCCCCGAGTCCCCGCCAGCGCCGTCCGCCGCCGCCTGCGTCCGCTTAGAGCTGCCTTCCCAGCCGCAGTGCCGGGTCCCGGGTCGGGCGGCGGTTCTGCCGCGGCCCGAAGAGCACGGGCCTGGGCGCGGATCTCCCGAAACAGACTCTCCTTCCTCTGTGTGCGGGAGAACACGACCAGCAGCGCACGCTCCTCCGCCGTCCTGCCCCCCCGCCAGTCGAAGCCCAGAGGCTGCAGGCGCAGCGGGCTTCTAGTCGAGCCGGCCACTGCGCGCAGCAGCAGGCAGAACCGGCCGGAAGAGTGCGGCTCCCCGCGGTGGCTCCGCACCGCGTCCGTCACGTCGAACACCTCCCAGCGCGCGCGGTCCAGGGGCTCCGCGGCCAGCGAGAGCAGCAGCGGAGGCGTGCGCCCCGCGCCCGGGCACGTGGACAGCAGCAGCAGCGGCCGAGAAGCCGCTTCGCCCTTGTCTGGCTCTAGAGACCCCCGGCGCAGCACACGGAGCTCGGCACCCACCACCTCGTCAGCGTCGGGAAGGCCGGACATGTCGAACAGGAAACGCTGACCCGCCTCGGCCGCCGATTCGTCTACCGGGGACGGACAGAGACAGAAAGCAAAGTGAGAGCAAAGCCAGGACACCCGGGGCCGCTGCCTGCATTTGGCTAGACTATCCTGCGTGCAGAGGAGGAAGGGCAGTAGGAGCCGGCCGGCGCTCCGCATCTGGCAGGAGTGCTGCCAGTCTGGCCCAGGGCAAAGGGATCCTTGTTGGTCTCCAAAGCCTACAGCTTAAGTTCATTCGGCCACCGCGACAGCCGCCGGACTTGCCTAATCAATCACTGACTCCTGGGGGCCAGGAGCGCACCGCCATACCCAGACCAAGTCTGAATACCCCTTAAGTTCTGCTGCGTACTCCAAAACAGTTGGCCAGATTTCTGGGAGATCCAAAAGCCCAGTGAGGGCAGAAGGCGCGCGCTCTCCTCAGGTCTTGCGCTTTCTGGGAACTGCCGCTTACCTCCAGGCTGAGCTCCCTTGAGAGCTGAGCCCAAAAAACGAAAACTTGTTTTTCCCTAAGAGCATTTTCCTCTTCGACTCCCTCTCTTCCCCCAACACACCCTGAACATCCTCAGCAACCTCGGTTTCCCAAGCAAAGTTAGATCCTATGAATAATTCAGAAGTGAGACGAATAATTCCGAAGCACCTCGACGGAGACCCTCCAGTCCACCCGGTTGTTTCAGAAACTAAGGCCGGTTTTAGCAAAGGTTCGCGCAAGTCTCAGCAATGAGAGTTGTCGTCCTCATGAGCCCCACTCTTGGCTCCTTTCGGTTCTCCCGCGGCCACGGAAGAGAATGGAAAAAGGACAGTGGAACGTAAGGAACCTTCTCAGAAAGCGCTTTGCTGAGGTTCCGCCTAAGGTCTCTCCAAGAGAGCTGGACCTTTCGCAGGCTTAATCTTTCACTCTGATGTGATTTATTTCAGGCTGGAGTTTTTAGTTCTGGTCGTGGGCCCTTTTTCTTTGGGGGGACTAAGAAAGAAAGTTTGAATTCCACCAAACAGCAGATAAGGAGTTCCCTTTGAAGGGGGTCATATGGTTTCATTTTATCCCATCGGAGAGACCGTGCAGACTCCCTCCACCTTCGGGATTTGCTCACTAACAGTAGATGCCAGGCCCTTAAGTTCATGGCCTGGGTGTACTTTATGGAGCCAAACAGCCTGGCTCCAGATTGAGGCTTAGGGTAGCAAGCAAGGCAAAAGTCCTGGACCTTGTTCCCAGCCCCAATTCCCCTTGAAGAGCTTGCTGAGCATTTTCTCAAAGCTTCCCCTGGAGCCTCCACCTGCATTGCTTTCCTAGCCCTGCCACTTTCCCTGGAGGGAAGGAAGAGAAGTGGCCTCCAGGTCTCACCCAAACAGAGGTCCCCAGAAAGGACTTAGCATGTTCTGTGACCTTGGTGGACCTAGCCAGCTCTAAGAAAGTCTGGTACTTCTGCTAGTTCAGAAGCCTGTTCATGCTCCCATCTCCTCCAGTCTGGGAGCATCCTATGCAGGGACAGGTCTGAAGTTATCCCTCTGTGCATCTGGACTGGGGCTTCCTGTGAGTAGCCTGAAGACAGTGCAAAAAGCCATATCAGGTCCTCAGAACATGTATGCTAAGTCCAGGATTTCTTTGCACCCTAAACAAAGCTATCTGTACACTGTGCATGTTTCAGAGATGGATGATTACTGCATGATGCCTCTGCCTGCTTTCCCGAGCTGTTATTAAAGGTGTGCTGTCAGTGGGCACCCACCCTCAGAGATCAGCAGCCCTTACTTTCCAGCCCTGTTTGCCTTTTTTTCCCTCCTGCTTTCTATGCTAGGTCTTTGGCTGGACAGAATTAAGACCAAAATTACTTACATTTCCGCCTGAAATCAGCTAAAAATTTCCCTATCTGTCTGCTTTAATGGCTTCAATGGAGATTAATAAAAGCCAGATGAGACACAGCAACCACCCCACACCCTCACCCATGTCCTACCTTTGGAGAGTTCAGTGCAGGGTAAGGTGGGGTGCTTGGGCTCCAGGCAATTTTCTCCTCCCCACACAACCTAAGTCCTGGACTTTGGCTCCCCAGGGCCTGGCTGCCACAGAACACAGACATCCACACCCAGTATCTACCCCCACACAAGTCACCATTCCCACATGAGGCCTGCTGGGAAGGGCTCTCCTAATGCAGAGAGGCCATCACTTTAGTCTGATACCTGCGTGTCCTGAATGCCCCTGGGCTCCCTTCAATTTGTATGTCCCCCAGGATACCGGGAACTACAGCTGCCAACATCACATCTAGTTCCTCTTGGCGGGAACTCCAAAGTCCCACCCCTGCCTGGCTTTCTTCTCCGAGGGCTGCAGGCCCAAAGCCACCCCAGACCCTTCCCCAAAGAAGAACTCTGCCGCCTCTTTGACTGGGACATGCCAGCCCGCAGTTAGACACCAGAACCCCCTCAGCTCTCCAGGGCCACAGTCCAGATGCAGCAGGTGCGCTAACCTCGGAAGCGAAGCTTCTAACACCTGACGGTGGGACCTGTGTGGCCCCAACTCAGAACGAAAGAAGCAGGAGCCTGAGATCCCGGACTGATCTCAGGTCCGGAGCAGACTGGAGGGCGCAGAAGAGACCTGAAGTACCTTGAGTCGCCTGGTCTGTGAAGCCAGTGATGGTGTCCGCGCGGCCCTGACCGCAGGCTGCTGCGGCGGGAGCCCTCCCAGCCAGGCTCCGGTATAGCGACATCATGAACTGGTGTGGCACCACCGAGCCGTTCCTGAATCCGGAACCTGCAGCGCCGCGCGCGGCGCGGGCCCCGAGAGCCGCGGCTGCCTGGAGAGCAGAAGGGCCTGCAGCCGGGACGAGGGTCCGCCCGCCGCCGCCGCCGCCGCCCCTCGCGTTCCAGGCCGGTCCTGCCCCTGCCGCCCGAAGCACCGCAGCAGCTTCCAGCCCGTCGCGGGGGCGGCAGGCGCTCAGCAGCCAGAGACACAGCGCGGCAGCGGCGCTCAGGTCCATGGGCTCCGGGGGCCCGCCGGCCGGGCGACACGGGCTCCGCGGCTCCGGGAAGTCCCCCGACGCCTTTTGAACATAGTGTTTAATAATGGGGGAAGTGTGCACAGCTAGCCGCGGCCCCCCTCCTCTCCCACCCCACCCCCGCCCAGCGCCCGAAGCAGCGCCCCCTGCTGAACGCTCGACCTGCAGCACTGAGCCCCCTACTCGGACCTATCGCGCTGTCAGGACCAGGAGCCTCCCCCCAGGTCCCGGTCCTCGCCAAGTGAGTGATACGCCGGAGGCTCCCGCCACAGCCCCGTGCCCAGCCTTTCCTCCCCACAGCCATCCGACCCCCCACCCCCCGCCCTAAGACCCCAGCGCTCTCCTTGGCTGGAAGATGGAGCGTCGCGCGCACCCGTCCAGCTTCTTCCCAACTCATCTGCTGAGAAACATGGCCCTCCCCGCTCCGATTTCGCGAGTGCTGGGATTACCAGACCTGGGGCCAAGGCAAGGCTGAGCCCCTCGGGTCCAGCTCTGTAGCCCCGGGCCCCGTGGTCCTTGCGCACCAAGAGCCAGGGCACCCAAAAGGGAGCGTTTACGATCTACGTTTAGGTGGTTCCCTCTCCTCTCACAGCCTCCAGAGGACGGCAGTGGGCGGCCAGAGCTGGGGACAGGATCTGTAAGGGGGGAAGAAAGGACTAGCCGGGTGGCTGGAAGGGCAGGGTAGAAATAGACAGATGGACGTGGACCGACCGCCTGAAAGATTTGGGCGCTGATTCTGAGCCAAAGCAGGAGCCAGACTCTTAAAGGAGTTCATGAACTAGGAGGGCGCCCAGGGGGAGTTGGGTTGAGTGGACTCCCATGCAGAGTGGTGCTCAGTGTTCAAATGTGCGACCAAAGTGGTGACCTTATGCCTGCTTTCTGGGAGGCCAGCGGCCACATTTCTTCAAAGTCAGGCGGGCAAAAGGCAACCGGCTACTGCTATGTTCGCGTGTGGTCACAAGCCCGGAGGACCGGCAGCAGAGCCCTGGGGTGGCGCCCCCGCCCCCCTGCTCTGTCATTACACCGCCAGGCAGGCGTCGGTGCAGGGGGCTTTTCCGCTGCCGGCCAATCCCTGGGATGCACTTGAGCAGACACCGGGGTCCTCATCTAGCTAGCACCGGCCGTGGAAAGTGGTCTCTACAGAGGTGGAAAGTCACCAGCATGTGTGATTCAGTTCAGACACACCCCAAAGCCGAAATATCCAGATGACTGAGGACCAACTGTCAGGTGGTTTGAGAGTCTGGACCACACAGGCACACCAAAAAAGGTCCTTTTACTTTAAAATTGAATCTAATAGCAAACTCAAAATCTAAACGGGGCTGTGCTTCCCAATCACCGAGTAGGTGATCAGTAGCTACAGGTCCCAGTGCTATCTAAAGCCACTTAGGTTGTCCGCTGGCTCTCTGACTTACAACAGGGCCCTCTGGGCCGCTGAACTTGCTGCTCAGCTTCTGGACCAACTGTGGCCCAGGCTCCAGCGTTGCCCCCTAATTGCTGATACCTCCGAAGTGAATCCATCCTGGCCACCTGGGAGATAGGCTCAGTCTAGGCCTTGGGAAGTTTGGGAGCTGGAGGGAAAGTCCTATCCAGAGCCAGTACTTGGTGTCCGGGGCCCATCAGATAGGAGAAAGGCTAAAGTTAGCTGAGCACTGTGGCCCAAAAGCACATCCCTGGGGCACTCAGAATCTTCCTGCTCCTGCTAGGATGACAGGCAAGTGGGATGATACCCTGCCTTTGGTACCCAGATTGAAGAGGTGGAAAAGTCATGTGTTTCCCTCTTTTGGTGCAAATACAAAGTGGCTGTGGCTATCTACCTATCCACCCCATCTCCACTTATCCACCTACCCTACCCATCCCCTACCCTACCTATCCACCCCTACATACATTGGCCAGCCAAGGATCTCTCTGCTCAGAGGGATACTAGGTCCTGCTGCCTTGCTGGCCTTATTTCTGCAACAGCCATTGATGCCCAGTCTTTGGATGCTTCACAAGTCAATTCAACTATGTTAGGAAAATACCTGGGAACCCTGCGTTAAGGTCATAGTACTGCTCTAGATCCGGCTCTGACCACTAACAGCAAGTCTCTGGACTTGTCTTGGTTTCAGTTTTCCCAGGTATATATAGTGGAGAGTGGAGGGAACCTGATACATCCTTGGCATAGTAGATCACAAATGTTTCTTGACTACCCTACCACTAGGCTTTCTTGGGGCTCAGGAAGTAAGGATGGGTTGGTTGGTGATCCTTCCTGCAGTCTGTGCAAGTAAGCCACACAGCTTCTTTGAGACTGAATTTCCTCATTGTGATTTTTGTGTGTAGCTAGGATAAGTTTGGCACAGAGGATGCTCAATCATTTTGTCCTCCTTTCTAGGCTGTTCTGACTGCCAACAGCACAGCAGAGTAATGGGTTCTATGTATTTACTGGAAGGCTTTGAGGGAGATTGGAAGGCTTTGGAGGCTCACCACAATCCACCAGCTATACATAAACCAAGATGTAACCTCTCCACCTGTGCCTCTTTGTCTGGACGCAGGGCAACCATGAATTCATTCATTTGCCCATCCATCCCTCCATTCGTTCCTTTTTGTAAGTAACTTCTTATTGCCAGGCACACTTCTGTGTTATGAATGTAGCAATGCACAGGACAAACCCATGGAGAGGCAGGGCAGGCAGAAGAAACAATGAACAGTAAGTGACACGCAAGTGCCCAGGATATTGTCAGGAGGTTCTAAGTACTGTGACAGAAAACCAAGGCTGGAGGTCTTTTTGATCAGCAAGAACACACACTGGCACAGAGTCCAGAGAAGAGAGATGCATGGGTTGCTGGGGGTCATGCCTGGCTCCTTCTCCTTTCTGCTTAAGTGATGATTCTAGCCACTTGTTACCTTCCCATTGCTTTGCATATCCCATCCCATCCCATCCTCCTCACTACTGCTCTATCCTGTGTGGTAGGGATTAGTAGCACTCATTTTCTAGAAAGTTGAGTCAATATCTTGCCAGGTCACCTGGTAAGTAGCACAGCCTGGAATACCCAGCTGTCTTGGACCAGCTCTTGGCTTGCACGACCCCAAGGAGATGGGACTGTGAGGGGCTTTGTTGTGCTAACTCACTCTCTGTCTCCCTGGAAGCTTTTCAGCAGAGAAAGGGACTCTCAGGTTCAGGTGAAGATTATGAGAGAATCCTTTCTTAAGGCTGCTGTCAGCTGGGAATTCACCCCCTCCAGGAAGTAATCTGTAGAATCAGCATCAGGGCTTGCTGATTCTCCAGGTCTCTAAGGCCCAGGGCTTCCAAGCCCATGAATAAGCATCTGTCTGCAGTGATGATGCAGAGGATAAAGGAAAGGGAAGCGAGGAGATTCTCCCACCATCCATTCTTCATTTTATATAGCTCCTGGTGAGTAGGTGGCCCCTATTGGGCCCACAACTCCAAACCTGGCCCTGGCAAGCATGGGGATTTTATCTTGGATGCAGGGAGCCTTTGGCTGCTGGCTGGACAGCAGAGCACCAGCATGCTCAGTAGATCTTGAAGCTGTGCTCTGTGGATGGAAACTTTGGTTCTCAGTGTTACCCTAGCACTCACTGGAAAGCTGCTACAACATCCCAGGGGTAGGTGGGAGGAACAGAGTTCAGAGATGGTAGAGACCAAAGCAGGGCAAGAAATCTTCACTTTTGCTCCTCATCTCTGTGACAACCAGCCCCTGGCACAGTCAGGAGGTGTAGGTCTCACAGCATCACCTGCAAGTGATCCTACTCAGGAGCATTTCTTTGCCCACCCCTTGCAGAAGCTATTGACTTTCTTTGAGTACCTAGTCCCTGCTTCAGTCAAGGAATCTCAGGGTCTAACAGAACCTCCTCAGTTATTTAGATCAACTTTCCATCCCGTGCCTGAATCATAACAAATTGCTGCCCAGGCTGTGTTTGTGTACCTGCAGAGACAGGAGCTCTATCCAGGCAGCCTTCCCACAATTGAATAGGAAGCAGCTCTGTGGACTGCACCTGAGACAGCCATGTCTCTCAAAGACATCTTTGCTGTAGGGACTTTGCCGGTCAATTGGGATTGTGCCATTTTAAGTTGGTCTTGTATCCTACCACAAGCTGTGCTGTGGTGGCCTTGGGTACCAGAACTTGAAGCAGTCCCAGCTGCCTACATTCTGCCCCATCTTGCAGGGCCTCCTGCCACATCCCATATCTAGAGGTCCTTTAGATATGACCTGCTATGCATCCCACATTGTCAACATGAGGAAGCCAAGTCCCCATACCTGCAGTCTGCCATGTGACATCTCAGCCATCTGGGACCTAAGTGCCCTTTGCTGTCCACTGCAGTCCAGAGGATCTCAGTTCTGGTCTATTCAGGAAACCTGTGGGTGAAGTGGGATGAGGGTTGGGGACAAGGGGTGCCTGCAGTCACACACCAACTTAAAACATGAAATGTTTGCTTCATAAAGTCAAGAGACCTGAATTCAAACTGTACCTCTAAGCTCTGGCTGCAAGTCTCTGACACTTCCTGGCTTTACCTCCTGCCCCCTATAATGACGCAGCCAATCAAATGTCCATGGAAGGCCAGTGAAAGGCAGAGGGACAGTGAGGGTAGAACCAGGAGTATGTCCTCAGTCTGGACCCACCATGATCTCTGACCTCTGACCCAGAGCAGAGAGAGAGAGAGAGAGAGAGAGAGAGAGAGAGGCAGAGCAGAGTACTGGGTTAAGTCTTCTAGAAGAGAGATGGGAGGAGAAGTGAACATCCCATATCCCACAGAGGCATCTACTGCCTTTGTCTTTTCTACTTCTGATGATGCTGGTCCCTCCACTCAGCCCCTAGAAGCTGCAAGTGTTTCTCCCAGAAAGACCTGCGACTTCAGAAGCTAGCAGGCACTAGCTCAGCGTTGGTATATGGCCAGGGCAGGACTTCCTCAAGCTCCAGGAATTTCCCCTGTTCAACCTGTTACTAGGCTGTCCAGGTTACCCTCAGCAACAGCTCTGGCATTCACA